TGGAGGGTGTATGTCCCTCAGCCCAGCCTGCATCCTCTCCGATATGGAACCCCTTGAGGGATGTCCGACTGCCCATTTGGCCCGATCCCACTGACTACTCACCTGCCTGCCTGTCTGATGGCCCCTAGCTGCTTCTGCCTGCCAGCCTGATCATCCCTTAACCACTCCCCTGCCAGCCTGATTGATGCCTAACTGCTCCTTTGCTGGCCTGATTGACCCTAACTGCCCCCCCCCCCCCCGCTGGCCTGGTCACTCCTAACTGCCCACCCCTGACAGCCTGGTCTCCCATGTCTTCCCCTGCATACTCCTCCCCCCCCCCACTGCCCACCCCTGGTGGCTCAGTGTTCCCTAACTGCCCTCCCCTGCTCTCCTTATCCCCCTGCAACTGCCTTCCTACAGGCCTGGTTGCCCCCAGCTGCCCTCACCTGCCAGCCCAGTCACCCCTAACTGTTCTCCCCTTCAAGCTTGATCCCTCCCAACTGGCCTTCCCTGCTGGCCTGATAGTCCACAACTGCCCTCCCCTGTTGGACATCTTGTGGTGGACATCTTGTGTCCACATGGTGGCAGCAATCTTTGACCATATCGGGGTGGCCATCTTGTGTTGGGATGATTGTCAATTTGCATATTACTCTTTCATTAGATAGGTTGATCATCTTTCTGATGGTATTACTACAATATTTGTGAGTTTTGAATGGTTTTCCTGCTTAGGCAGAGCCTCCTACAAAGCAGTGTGGGGAAAAAAATACATATTTGCACATGTACACATTACCCCCCTCAGGAGTGATGGGCAGCCTTTGAAAAGATGCTTGTACAAGTCCTCAGCCAACAGCAGGTTTTGTGGCTGGTCTGTTCCCAGGACAGAGTCTTGCTTCAGCAGCTCTCACTAAGTGAGCTGCTACAGTGCAGTCTGGCCTAGGTCTTTTTACATATGTCACAAACTCAGAGGGTTTTTGTAAAAAATTATATTTATATTTATTCATTAAACATGATAAGTTTTGCTGTTGATTTTTCACCTTTTGGTTTGGAATTTCAATTCTATCCTATGATTTTATTTCTCAAAGCAGTGGGTCTGTGGACAAACAGCACCAGCAGCACCTGGGAGCTTGTTGGAGATGGAGAACCAGAACCTGTCTCTTAACAAGATTCCTTAGTGCTTCCTAGGCACATCCATGTTTGAGAAGCTCTGCTTCATTTCTGTCACCTTCAGTCACCTTCAGCTGGGTGTTTTCACTCAGTATTTAAGGCTAGAATTTTTGATAGGCTTTCAGGTTTTTAAAAAGAAGACACATGCACACACAGAGAAATTCTTTCCTTTGTCTTTGCATGATGTCATTTTACCTGGCCTGCCACAAGAAAGAAAAAGGCAAATTACATTCAAGTTATACATATTTGTAAGACTAACTTCTCTTTTTAAATTTATTTATTGATTAAGGTCTTATATGTGTTCTTATCCCCCCATTACCTCTCCACAACCGCCCCCCCCCCACTCATGCCCTCACCCCACTGTTGTCTGTGTCCATTGGTTAGGCTTAGTGTATGCATACAAGTCCTTTGGTTGATCTCTCCCCCTTACCTCCACCCTCCCCTGTCTTCCCTCTTAGGTTTGATGCTCTGATGGCAGCTTCTCTGTCTCTGGATCTGTTTTTGTTCATCAGTGTATGTTGTTCATTATATTCCATAAATGAGTGAGATCATGTGATATTTATCTTTCTCTGACTGGCTTATTTCAATTACCATAATGCTCTCCAGTTCCATCCATGCTGCTGCAAATGGTAGGAATTCCTTCTTTGTTACCACAGCATAGTATTCCATTGTGTAGATGTACCACCGTTTTTTTAATCCACTCATCTGCTGATAGGCATTTGGGCTGTTGTTTCTAAATCTTAGCTATGGTGAATTGTGCTCCTATGAACATAGGGGTGCATATATCCTTTCTGATTGGTGTTTCTAGCTTCTTGGGATATATTCCTAGAAGTGGGATCACTGGGTTAAATGGGAGTTCCATTTTTATTTTTTTGAGGAAACTTTATACTGTCCTCCACAGTGGCTATACCAGTCTGCATTCCCACCAGCAGTGCACGGGGCTTCCTTTTTCTCCACATCCTCACCAGCACTTGTCGTTTGTTCATTTGTTGATGATAGCCATTCTGACAGGTGTGAGATGGTACTGCATGGTCATTTTGATTTGCATCTCTCAGATAATTAGTGATTTTGAGCATGTTTTCATGTGCCTTTTGGCCTTCCTTCTGTCCTCTTTTTAAAAGTGTCTATTTAGGTATATTTCCCACTTTTTGATTGGGTTGTTTATCTTCCTTTTTTTTTAAAGTTGTATGAGTTCTCTGTAAATGTTGGAGATTAAACCCTTATTGGTGATAACATTGGCAAATATGTTCTCCCATACAGTGGGCTTTCTTGTCGCTTTATTGATGGTTTCTTTGGCTATGAAAAAGCTTTTTATTTTGATGTAGTCCCATTTGTTTATTTTCTCTTTAGTTTCCATTGCCCTAGGAGCAGTATCAGTGAAAAAATTGCTTCAGCATATGTCTGCTATTTTGCTGCCTGTGGATGCCTCTAGTATTTTTATGGTTTCCCTTCTTATGTTTAACTCCTTTATCCACTTTGAGTTTATTTTTGTGTATGGTATAAGTTGGTGGTCTAGTTTCGGGTTTTTTTGCAAGTATCTGTCCGATTTTCCCACCATTTATTGAAGATATTGTCTTCACTCCATTGTATGTTCATGCCTCCTTTGTCAAATATTAATTGAGCATAGTTGTTTGGATCAATATCTGATTTCTCTATTCTGTTCCATTGATCTATATGTTTGTTCCTATGCTAGTACCAGGCTGTTTTGAGAACAGTGGCTTTATAAATACAGCTTGATTGAGATACTACGTACTTTGTTCTTCTTTCTTAGGGTTGCTGGAGATATTTGAGGTCTTTTTTTATTCTAATTGAATTTTCAGACAATTGGTTCTAGGTTTGTGAAATATGTCTTTGGTATTTTAATGAGGAGTGCATTGAATCTATAGATTGCTTTGGGTAGTATGGACATTTTGATGATGGTGATTCTACCATTCCATGACATGGTACGTTCTTCCATCTGTTTATGTCTTTCTCTATCTCTATTTTTAGTGTCTTGTAGCTTTTTGCATATAGGTCTTTTACTCCTTAGTTAAGTAGCTAAGAGAAACAGAGGCATGCAATATGTCAGAAATAGGAAGACTAACTTCTTAATTGCATCTGTTAAAGCAACATGCTGGATCTCTCATTATTAACTGAATCCCAAGTGTTTCTAAGATTAATTGAGAAATGCCTAAAGCCACAATAAGCACTGTTAGCATAGTTTAATTCAAAATCATCAGTTAAGAATGAAGGTGCAATTAGTGATAAAGATGTTAATAACTAGTGGTGGTCTGTTAAATTTTATATTCAGTGGTTATGTAAGTAAAGAAATTTCCTCAAGATAGAAATTAACTGTTCATATTAATTGCTACTTTAATGTGCTTATTTTAATGGAGCCATCTTGTAGAAACCCTTGGGCACATTTCCAATTTTATGTAAAAGTAGAATTATGGAAATAAATGACTTTAGAGTTGGAACAACCTTAGCAGTAATTTAATCCAGTTCAGTCATTTTACAAATAAGTAAGAGTTATATTACTTACCTGGTACTTAATTAAGTCCTTCCACAGAATATTGGAACCTGTTCTTCCCAAGTCTCAGACTGGTGGCTGAAAACTTTTCAGATCCTTCCAGTCAAAAGTTCTTTCTTTTGCTCTGGCTGGTGTGGCTCAGTTCGTTGAGTGAAAAGGTCGGCATTTCAATTCCTGATCAGAGCACATGCCCAAGTTACAGGTCAGTCTCTGACATATGGAAGGAAACTGATAGATGTTTCTCTCTTCCTCTCTCTAAGATAAAAACAACAACAACATTTTAACAGGAAAAAGTACTTCCTCTTGCCTCAGAGTTCCAAGTGCACCATTTTTTGCAATGCCTCCAAAATTTTTTATCTTGCTCTGCATTACGTTCTAGTTGCTTTTAGTTGTAAGGTTGAAGTCTTGGGAACCATGCTTGATTCATTTTTGTATTTCATTAACATTCCTATATTATGCAAACAACTTCTTTATAGTCACTTTACATGCATTGTTGTGCTGGACCTGGTTTTCCCCTCCTCACTAGAGCTGATTGTGTCTTTACAATGGCAGCTTGAAGTTGGCCATACTGGGTGTATTTACACTATGAAAATGAAAAAATGCTATAAATCAGAGCTTTTATGCCCTGGAATGCCAGTTGTCAAACATTTTCCAGCATACCACTGTTCATATGATTTCCATAAGGTCTTATAAGGCAGCAGATCTCAATAAATCCATAACAATGTGAAGATAACCATTGTTCAGCATGGGTTGCCTTGAGAATGATGAGTAGCTAGTTGCTCAACCTCTTCTGGTTTCTTAAGGGATTAAGTCTGACACAGTGCAAGTCAGGCCTAGGACTGCATCAGAATTTGTCTGATTAGCTAAATACTACTTATCTAGAAATGCTATTTCGACACTAATAGTAATGGAAACAGGGTCTGAAATATCAGGCATAGTTGAGTGAGAAAAAAAACACAAACCACTATCAGAAAAAAATGAACAGAAAGTTACTATGGCTGAAATTACAATTATATCTTTATACTTCTCAAAAAACCTTCAGTGGCTCCTTACAACCTATAAAAATACCCAAACTCCCTGATATAAGTCATGTACAGACCACAGCTCACTGTCCTAAACTCATTTTCAACTGCTTACATTATCAACCTTCATTCTGTCTTCCAGCCTCTGCAGAGCCTGTTCCAGCCTGACATTCCCTCCTCCTGGAATGCGCCCTCTGCCTCCCTGTCCCACCATGGGCTCTCTCCTAAGCCTGTTTCTACCCAGTCCCTCTACCATGGAACAGAGCTTCTGGATGAACGTGATAATTCTCATGACTATTCATCTCCTTTCTTATGTGTCTCTGTAGGAGCAGGACCCGAGGTCCGATCGGCCCTGGCAAGTATGGCTATGGAAAGGCCCCATACATTTTACCACTGCAGACAGACTCTACACACTCAACGCAGAGACTTCGGAGGCAGAGGTCCTCGTCCCGGCATTCCAGATTCCAAGAGGCATCAGGCCTTAGCTATGGCTATAGCCCTCCAGGTGGCGGGGCCCCACACCATGGACCTCTGTACCAGAGTGACAGTGGCCCTCATTCTGGACTGCGGACCTCAGAGGCTTCCATCTACCAGCTGCCTTTGACCCATGACCAGAGCTTCCCTTTAGCCTCAAGTTCCTTGCACAGCCCAGAAACAAGCAGCAGCCATGGCATGGGGGCCCACAGTGCAGCCCTGAGCTTTGCCCAGCCAGCCCGGTCTGCAGCAATCTCCTGCATTGGGGCCTATCACCAATACAAGCTGTGCAACACTGACGTGAGTACACTACCTCCTCTGAGCCTGGGATGGCTGCTGTGCTTACCTTCCCGTTAGGTGGCAGTGAAGATGTGGAAGGCAGCAAGACATGGTTTTCTAGGCCATGTTTTTGTAATTTATTTGTGAGGGGTGGAGAGGAGTGTGGAAAGGAGGAAAAAAGAAATAAAAGGGAAAACATTGCTTTGGGAAGAAGAGAAATCCTTTAAGTAATTATCTATTTCATGGATTAACTAAAACACCCTTATTTCTTAAGCTGTTGATTCTTTATTAGAAAGATATGTGTGGCAGATCCTGATCCAAAAAGAATATAATCATTATAACTAGTAACCGCCACTTACTTTCCACTGGAAATAGCAAATTCTTCCCTGGGGATCTCCTCATAGTGGCTCTTATGGACTATGGAGTTTGTGAACTACCAGATGCTTCGTCCCAACATAGCACTTTTAGAATCCCTGTGATAGGCACAGAGACTAAAGGAGGAGGAAGTGGTGGTACCACACTAAGTCCTCCTTTTTTCACAACCATGACCTCCTGCATGCTAGGCCATGGTTTTTAGTTTTTAAACCTTCCTTCCATCTCATTTATCTCTGTTATTCTCCCCACAATAACTTCTTGAATCACTTATTGGCAACCTATTGCTTCATATAAAATAACTTCCAAATTTCTAATGGCTTTATGTCAACAGTTTCTTCCTCAGGGATCTGTGGGTCAACAATTTCTTTCTCAGGGATTAGTTTGGCTAATTTAGGGAAGACAGTGGTGGCACCAAATAAGTGGGAGTTTAGGCATTTGACTAGCCTAGGTATCACCCAGTAAATTTCCTTGGGGGCTCCCTGCTCTTCCAGGCACACACACTCTTTAGATACGGATTTTGACAAAGTCTGCTAGTGAGTCATTTGATGAAGATTCCACAACTAATGAATAGCAAAGCAAATTATAAATGGAAACTACATAATATGACCAAGTATGTTTAAAAAATATCAGTTTAAAAACTATATATAAAAGAGAAAGGAAAGGAAAATGTGTAAAGGTTAAATTTCCAAGTTGCTATATTTTTATTAATAATTTAATCTGCTTTAATACTCTGTTACTAGGTAACAGGAAAACTATTATATATTAGCTTCAATTTCCTCATTAAAAATATATTTCCTTCCATGAAGTCCATAGAAATGACTTAATTTGTGATTTTAATAATTTCTTTGAATGCCTGGATTGATTTTTAGCTTGTTCTTCAACTGACAGACTTCAGGAATTATTAATTTTTATAAAGCAGTAATTTTTCTAAAGCCATTACTAATCAGTCAACCAGTAAGTCTTAATTGAGCATCATTGCTCATCTTGTAACAAAGTTGTGAGGACCATAAAAAAAAATACTAGTGCCTCTGATTAGACATGGTTCCTGTTCATCCATTGCAATTCTTTTAAAATAAAATGAATTCATTTTCAATGGAAAACACATTCTACCATTAACTAGTCTGTTTCTTAATTTTGAAGACCAAGTACTAGCAAATCAAAGATAAGGGCAAAGGGAGAGGCTATTTGGCATATACACTGAGTGGCCAGATTATTATGATCTCTGAATACACACACACACACACACACACACACACACACACACACACACATATATATAGTGCCACTCAGTATATATATTAGTGGCCTGATACACAAATGAGGATTAAAAATGGGCCTTTGTTCCCCTGGCTGCTGGCACTGCCTTTACTCTGGCCAGAGCAGCCTTTCCACTCCAGCCCAGAGCCACCTTTCTGCTCTGGCCAGAGCTGCCTTTCTGCCTTCCCATGTTGTCCAGAGGTCTGGAGCGGCTGGGGTGGTACAGAATGCCTGTGTCACTGCCATGGCAACGACGAAAGCATCCCACCAGAGCTCACGCTACTTGGAGCCTGTGCATGCAAATTAACATGTCATCTATGTTGAATTAATTTGCATATCCACTCCTGATTGGCTGTGGGCATCACAGAGGTACAGTCAATTAGCACACTACTCTTTTATTATATATATAATCCTTTAAGTAATTACCTATTTATTCTATCTGAACTCTATCTTTATGCCATCACTCTCTTCCTAATCTTTCCCCCTTTGGTGTGCTGTTTATCTTAACCCTTTCGTGCTCTAGATTTTCCCTATTCTTTATGTTTACCCCCTGCTAAAATTTCACCCTACTTGTGTATATCTAATTTCCAACCCCTTGCTCCAAGTACATACACACCTCCCTTTTCGCCTGCCCCCGCAAAAAAACACACACACAAAAAAACAGTTTTTCTCTCTATCCTTGTGTAATTGTATGTTGAATGTTAACTATATCAAAGTTTTGTGCTTTTTTTGTTAGATTGTTTTGCTTATTCTTTTTGTTTGATTGTATGTTTTTGTTAGCTGTGTTTTAGTTATTTTTTTTTTATATCTGCTTTCCCTTTCCTTGCGTGATATTAGTTGGTGCCTTAAATTGTATTAATCTCCAGATACTTGTTGCTGGCATTTGCTGTGATTATTGGCTGTTTTATTGGAGTTTCCTCCCCATATATATAGTTAGTTCCTCGTTTTTCTCTTAGTATCATTCTAATCTCTCTCTCTCTCTCCCCTTTTTGTTCCTTTTTCCAATTTCATTTTGACACTTCTTTTTTTTCTTTCTTTTTACTCTTCTATCTCTCCTACCCCCTAACTTTCCTTTCTATAATAGTCACCTTTATTGGAGGTTATTAATATTGCAAATGCATTTCTATTCAGTGCCTTGTGTGTTGTACCTGGTTGTGTTGTATTTTGTGCCTTTAAATCAATGCAAGAGAAAGAGAACTTCATAACCAGACATCCTGAAAAGAGAGACCATGAGGAGAAAAAGAAACAGCCCACATATGAAAGAAAAGCAGGCATCACCAGAAAAGGAAGTAAACGAGTTAGAGACAAGAATATTCTTGCTCTATCAGAGCAAGAATTCAGAGAAATGATCATAAGATAGCTAAAAAGAATGGAAAGCAAATTTGACAATATGAGTAAGAACCAAGAGGAAATGAAAAATGATACGCTACTGTAAAGAACTCAATAGAGCCAAAACCGGTTTAGCTCAATGGATAGAGCGTCGGCTTGGGGACTGAAGGGACCCGGGTTCGATTCTGGTCAAGGGCATGTATCTTGGTTGTGGGCATATGCCCAGTAGGGGGAGTGCAAGAGGCAACTGATCTATGACTCTCTCTCATCGATGTTTCTAACTCTCTATCTATCTCCCTTCCTCTGTACAAAATCAATAAAATATATTTTAAAAAAAAAGAACTCAATAGAAAGCATCAAGAGTAGACTAGAAGAGCAGAGGACTGCATCAGTGAGCTAGAAGACAAGATGGGAAAAAATGTCCAACTAGAGCAGCTTCTAGAAAAAAAATTAAAAGCAGGAGGAGAGCCTAAGGGAACTTTGAAACAATACAAAACAAAACAATATTCATATAATAGACGTACCAGAAGGAAAGTAAATTGAGGAAGACATGGAAAACATGTTTCAAGAAATAATGACAGAAAACTATCCTGAGATAGAGAAGAAAAAACCCACACAAATCCAAGAAGCTCAGAATCCCAAGCAAAATGAATCCCAAAAGACCAACGCCAATGCACATTATAATTAAAGTGGCAAACACCAACGACAAAGTAAGAATCTTAAAAGCAACCAGAGAGAAACAGAAAGTTACATATAAAGAAACCCCCATATGACTAGAAACTGATTTCTCAACAGAAACTTATCAGGCCAGAAGGGGATGGGATGACATAAACAAAGTCATGCAAAGGGTCTGAATCCAAGAATACTGTACCCAGCAAGGCTATCAATTAAAATTGAAGGTGAAATCAGGAGTTTCACAGACAAAAAAGAACTAAGGGAATTTATCACCACCACACCAGCAATGCAAGAAATGCTAAAGGGTCTGCTGTAAAAATAAAAAAGAAATAGGAAGCAAAGAAGGAACACATGGGTATAGAATAAAAATGGCAACAAATAAATACCTATCAATAATAACTTTAAATGTAAATGGATTAAATGCTCCAATCAAAAGACATAGGGTAACAGATTGGATAAGAAAACAAGACCAATATATCTGTTGTCTGCAAGAAACCAATTTCAGAAAAAAAGACGCACACAGACTGAGGGTGAAGGGATGGAAAAAGGTTTTCCAGGCAAATGGAAATTAAAAAAAAGCTGGGGCAGCAATACTTATATCTGACAAATTAGATCTCAAAGTGCAGGACATAACAAGAGATAATGAAGGCCACTTCATAATACTGAAGGGAGCAATCCAACAAGAAGAAATAACCCTGGTAAACATATATGCACCCAATACAGGAGTACTCAAATATATTAAAAAAAACAAAAACAAAAAACTGCTGGAGGTCATTAAGGGATAGATTAATAGCTATGCAATCATAGTAGGAGATTTTAATAACCCTCTATCACCTTTGGACAAATCATCGAAACAAAAAATCAGCAAAGAAATATCAAACCTAAATGACTCACTAGACCAGATGTAATTAATCGGCATCTTCAGAACATTTCACCCCAAAGCCATAGAATATACATTCTTTTCAAGTGCACATGGGTCATTTTCAAAGACAGACCACAAGTTGGGACATAGGCAAAGTCTGTTCAAATTCAAGAAGATAGAAATCATATTAAGCATATTCTTAGATCATAGTGGCATAAAACTGGAAATCAACTACAATAAAAATAATCCAAAGAAATCAAACACATGGATACTAAACAGCATGCTATTAAACAAAGACTGGGTTACCAGATAAATCAAGGAAGAAATAAAAGACATCATGGCAACAAATGACAATGAAAATACAGCAATCCAAAATACATGGGACACAGCAAAAGCAGTCTTGAGAGGGAGATTCACAGCTCTACAAGCCCACTGCAAAAAACAAGAAAAAATGGTAACAAATTATCTAACTTTACAACTCAAAGAGTTAGAAAAAGAGCAACAAGAAAAGCCCAGTGTAAGC